TTTTGTTTGGTGCATTCAGTTGTGATTTACAGCGTGTTAAAAATGGAAGTGAACAAAGAGAAAATTCGGTACATTTTACAGTTTTTCTTTGACAAAGGCGAAAATGCAAGCCAGGCGGCTAAAATTGTGAATGGTGTTTATGGTTCCGATACTGTAACAGCCAATTATGTGCAATTTTGGTTTCGTAGATTCCGTTCAGGAATTTTTGAAGCCTTGGCCAAACGGAATGAGATAGACCCATTTCTTAAACGGATGGTGACTGGAGATGAGAAATGGATCACATACGATAACCCTGTGCGAAAACGATCGTGGTCAAAGAGCGGTAAAGCACCTCAAACGACCAGGAATGTTTTGCATGCATTTGGTGGGACTGGAAGGGGATTATTTATTATGAGTTGCTTCCATATGGCCAAACGCTAAATTCTGATCTCTACTGTCAACAACCGGACCGTTTGAAGATAGCGATTGACCAGAAAAGGCCAGAATTGGCCAACAGGAGAGGTGTCGCGTTCCACCAGGACAACGCTAGGCCACACACATCTACAGTGACTCGCCAGAAACTTCGGGAGCTTGGTTGGGAAGTTTTAATGCATCCGCCGTACAGTCCGGACTTGGCACCAAGCAATTATCTCCTTTTTCTTGCATTGCAAAATTTCTTTAATGATAAAAAATTGGAATCTAGGTAGGATTGTGAAAATCGACTACTAGAGTTTTTTGCAAATAGAGACCAGGGCTTCTATGAGAGAGGCATTTTGAAGTTACCTTTAAAATGGCAACAAATCATACAACAAAACGGTGCATATTTGACCCAAATCGGACAATCCGAAGCATGTTAAATAAAGTCCTGAAGTTCATATAAAAATAATGGATTTCTTTTTCCCCAAACTAACATATTCTCCTGTCTGTATTTGTAACGTCTGTTGCAAACATTCTCCTGGCCGCAAAAATGAACCTATCGACTTCATAATTAGCAGAAACATTGAAAATCCTTGCACGGATGTTGGTATTGAAAACAGGCCAAACCGATCGAAGGACACGAGCACAGTACCACGCAAACTGAGACCACCTCTGTTTTAAAAAGGGAATGAAAAATAGGTATTTTGCTCACTCCTCACAAACTAAAGTACATGTACAACAATTTGAACACATATTCTATGGGCAATGTTGTAGCATTTGTGTACAAAAATGGAAAAGTTGACCACGCCTACCTAATGTTATATTCTATCAGAATATAATTGTTTTTAATACCTTAATAACACACAGAAGCAAGCTTCAAAAACCCAATGAAGAATATTGATTCTTGGCCAGTTTCAACTCTTAATGCACCTGAACATGTCCGCCTCTTCGTCTGTCCATCTGTCTGTTTGCGCAACTTTATAGTATTTGGGGTAAACGTTCTCCCCTTAGCGAAAACGAATATATCGCCTACGAATTTGCAAAAGAATTTGGAGTTGACCTGAACTTTTCAAAAGACATGCTTGCAGCGTCCACAAGCTTCTACGATAAAAACTTTCACTTTGAAAATAGAAGGAATCAACTGTGTCCACTCCGCATTATGGAGCATGAGTTATGGTACTTTTGTTGTATTTTTTTGGTAGTGAACAATGATGGGTATAAGAGATTCGGTCCCGACCGAATTTAATTTTCTCACTTGTTTAAGTTTGCTTGTTTTGGTTTTTTTTTGTTTAACCTGCTTTAGTAAGCGGGCCATCAAAGTAACCTAATCTAGATTAACCTAATTTAAGGTTTTTTTGTTTTGCACAAACGGCCTGCTTGTTGGGCTCACTGTACCCGCGTTTCTCGCAATATCTATTGGAGAAGATTCTATATCTCTTTAAAAAAATTATATAATGCAGGTTTCTAGACGCTCTATAAACATAAGAAATACTTGACGCTTAGAAATAGTTGCAAGGACTGAATACAGGAGCAGAAAATAATGTCCACCGCGCAATGAAAATTCACTCTCACTAAAATTTTCAATTTTCAAATTATTCGCTCGAACACCGAGACATTGTCTTAAGGTTGGAAGAAGATTTCTTTAGAAGTTGTGTTCCTAGCTCCCTTGGTTCGTTTGACTACGGGATTTCAAAAATTATTTCACACAACAGCACTTCTAAATTCATTTAATTTAGCTAATAGTGTTCATTGTCTTTCCTGCAAATTTTTGCCCTCATTAAAAAAGGGAATATTCGAAACACGAGAAAGAAATGATCCTCTCTATCTAACTTATTTTCATATTTATTTATTTGCAAACGTACCAAGATTGAACCATATACCTACTTGCACTAGATATAAACAATGAACAGTGAACTATAGTGGGACGGAGTCCGTCATAAAATGGCCTACATTATTTCGCATAATACCGTTATTAATATAACGACCTTTCAAAGTAAGGTCTTATTTATAGGAAGTGATCGGAAAGGGGATCCGATTCGAACCATTTGCAATAGCGTTCGTGCTTGGGCCAAAACATGTAAATCTCAAAATATCTCGAAAATTACTTTACAGCTTTCTGAATAGATCGCTATAATAAAAGGTGGATCCATCCCAAGTCATTCTAAGTGCTGCGCACATTCGTACAAACTTAACATACCGTTGTACCACAAGTAGCATAGGGTATAAAAATGCCCAAGAGGACATTATAAACTAAGTGTTATTAAACTGAAAAGCTTCTCAACCGATCTCATCTCGCTCTATCGCTTAATCCGCTAGTATCAATAGAAAAATAAGTGTTTAAGAATGAAAAAATATTTCTTGTAAAAGTTCTTAAGGACACATGAAGGAAGTTATATGGTAAATTTACGGTAAACTATAATAGTATTAAAAGATTAAGCAATTCAGATCGAATAATAGAATAATGGGAAATACAAACTCTGAGTTGATATTACAAATAAATGACATAATATGATTAACAGTACGTTTTAGGCTATGTTAGAGATAAGGCAAGCAAGCGAAAATAATTTTTGCAACACTACTTCCAAAATCAAGTTAAGGATTACCCTAAAACATTGCATTGAGTCCACAAAAGCAGCGCTATATATAAGGTATGTAGTAAATTTAACAAGCAAGTTAAAGTTGCGTGGAGTTTTGTTTAATTGAAAATATGTTATATTGTATACACCACCTTCACACGAAGCGCTTAAAAAGCCCTACTAAATATATTACATTATCGAAATTTTAAGAAAATATTCATTGACCTGAGTTAGGTATACCAAGTATTGAGAGACAGAGGAGAGGGGGGAGAGAGAGAGAGAGAGAGATGTAGATGAAACGTTCGTTTTTAACGCAATTTTGTTTTTTACCTCCGACATAAATTTCTCGCATAAAAACAATACTTGCATAAGGTAAGAAAAAGATTATTTGCAAAGGAGATCGCGCAACTGACTTTTTATATGAGCAGTTATTTTTCAAATTTGCACCACAATATTAAAAAATTGCCTAGATGCACTTTTCGGGCCACTTTTCGGCTCTATTTACGATCAACGTTTTACAGACACCGGATAACACTGTTCGAGTTGACAGTGATAATGAGAAGATTTCGAGCAGTAAAGGGCGTTTGTGATTAACCCGTTCGCATGCTTTTCAATAGCTTCCCCCATGCGTTTGTTTGGATATTATAATCGGTCCACCAACGTCATTATCTGTTGACGATTACGACAGTTAACTATTGACTATTTATTCGTAAAACCTACATTAACTATTTATTAGTAAAACCTTTTCTGTCAATTATTACATATTAATATAATCTCGAACTTTTGATGCAACGAATCATACACAATTTTAATAGTTGAAGAAAATCTCTAATTTGTCAATGTAGCAACTGAGTTAGTAAGAAAACCTTGCAAAAAAAATTTCTTTAAATTCGATAAAATTCGGTTAAATCCGAAACGAGCTGAAAAATCAAAGACAGATCGACTTATAATATTCACTCACATAGTAAATGAGTTTATGCATTAACAAGTAAAGCGGCTTATAACCTTTCCTTATTACAAAAAAAAAAAGAGTTTGAACTTATAAAACTTTAACGTTATGAAGAATATATCCTTGGAATTCTATTGAGTTAAGTTTTAGTTAAGATTTTAATCTACTTACAACTTATTACACGTAAGGCAGATAACCTTGTTATTGTTTTTTCTTTTTTTTCTTTTGTTTTTGTTGGTTTGTTTCAAATTTAAATTTAAGCACAAATTTTGAAATAATTTACTTACTTTACTATGTGTATTGAACTTGAGACTATTGAACACTTCCGTTTCCTTGGGTCTGCGATTTATGACTGAATACTAACTACGTACTTAACTGAAATTCTTGTTATAATCCTTTTTAATTGAACATATTGAAAAGTTGTTATGGTTACTAAATATTTATTGATAAAACTTAAAAATCACGACCTATATATGAATATATTACAGATGACACGCACGTGTTTGATTTGCAAAGAAAAAAACATAATAATAAATCAATTTATTTATAGCGTTTTAATCATATACATGACCTATCTAAGGGTATAAACTGTTTACATATACGTAAATGTTTATGCACAGGGAGGTCTTTTTTTTACATATAATAGAAAAAATTTCTGAAGAAAGTGAAGAAAATTTTATTGTAAATGTTTTTACTCATGTACTTATCTCATGCTTTAGATAAGCAAAAAATATATATATATATATATATATAATCATAATTTAAAATAACAGTTGTGGTAACGTTCAATATCCCTTCAGAATTATCGTTCTTAGTAGCAATCCTAATATCGATTATGATCAGCTGTTCAATTGAAGAATTATCTCATCTCTAATTTCTTATCAGTTTAGCTCGAATGTCAAACATGTTTATGTATTGATTTTTTGTTTGTGTTTCCTTAAGAGTAAGAAAAGAAACAGGAAAATAGAAACTAATTTTAAATATTTATCCGTTTCCGTTTTGTGCTTTTTCCATTCGAAGTTATAAAAGATTTAGAAATATCGTAAATTATTCTTATTAAAAAATAATCAAACAACGGTTTGTTTGCACATTTTTATAAAAATTATTTCAAAATTGTTGCAATATTTTCTACATAGACATATGTGTATATAAGTTAATTTGTTAGTATCGCATATAGAAGAGGAAGATTTTAATAAATAAAACTAAAAAAGCAATAACACCGAAAATTACAAAATACAATAATGGTAAGTGAGAGAAGTTTGTTTTGTTTCTTCCTTTTTTTTGTTTTTACATTAACCTTTACGTCATCTCCTCTCTTCCTTCTAACGTTCAAACTAAGATTATTCAAGTTGTAAATGCTATGAAATGAATGGTCAATAACTTAAAATAAAATACATATGCCTTATGTGAATTTTGAATGCTTATCGTCTTAAGACGATACACACTTTGCTTGAAAGGTGTCGAAAATTTCGGGAGAAAGATGTGTTAAAAAAGAAATCGTCAACATGCTTATTCGCATGCTTATTATAACATGCAGTTGGCCGTGCACTTTTTTATGCGTTCTTTGAAATCGTTAGTTTAACTTAGAAAACAAGAGAAAAACAAGTTGAGTCATATCATATGGATACGATCACGTTCGCGGAGTTTTTCATTGAACTTTCTGTAGCAAATATTTAAGCGAGGTAATTAAATTTGCATGACGTGAAATACTGTGCTATTCGCTAGAGAGTCTAAATAACATTGAAATTGATAGCATAAACAGAGCTTTAGTTAACAATGAGATGGAATGAGATATATTAGTAATAAAATAATAAATTAAATTTGTCCGAATTTTCATAGTCGTACCATATTGGGTGGGCACGGTTTATTTCTTGTAGACGTTGCAGGCGTTTTGTTTCACCGGTTTGGTTCATTTGCAAATACCTTTGCAATTTTGTAGATGACATCTTCATTCTCGCGAACGGGAGAATGTCTACCACAGATACTACACAGTCGCGCAGACGGACAGATGGACTGACGAACAGGCGTACATGCTTAGGTGTATTCCGAATTTGAGATTGTGTAAGAATTTATATACTTTGTGGAGATTTTTAAATCGACATGTGCGCCTTAAAAAAAAGAAATTGTGGCACGCTGTAACATTTGGTAGACGTGGTCACTGCCTCCCATTTTCGTACAGTTGCTGCTGTATCATCCATAGAATATAAATTCCAGTTTTTGTGAATATATTTGCTGTGGAGATAGAGAGAGAGAGAGAGATTAATGAATGAGTAATCAGCAAACAACCAATTTTTTTTCCTTTTGAAAAACAGGGGTGTTCTCAGTTTACGAATTTAGTTTTCAACACCAATTCGCGTGCAAGAACGTCCAATAGTTCTGAGAAACTTGAAGTCAATAGCTTCATTTTGCGGCCAAGAGAATGTTTACAACAACCATTACCAAGACAGGCCGACGGACAGGCTTAAATCAATTCGGAATTTGATGCTGATCAAGAACACATATACCTTGTGGGATCTCTTTCTGGGCGTTGCAAAAATTTCGAAAGTATGAACATACCCCTCATCCGTCATTGATAAAAGAAGAATTTATAAATGCTACGAAGCCAACGACAACGAATGAATGAACAAGTGAATAGCTACTGAAGATGCATATTTCATGGATTTTGCTTTGGATGTCGATCATTACATTATTGATCGCAAATCTATAAAATCTATAATTCTGAATTAGAAATTGTTTTTGCGAAGCACTGCGGGGTGATTCTCTTAAGTAATTGTTGCGTAAGTGACTACGGAGATCTCTAGGAGTTTATTAAGACATGCGACCATTGTTTTTTGCCTTACTTTAATTGAGAATATATTCTTCTTGTCCATTTATCCTTAAATCGGGTTCATACTACTGAGCTGTGAATTTACAATAACGAAAACTTTATTTACAAAATTACAAAGAATTATCTAAAGAAAATTATTTAAATAAATACTCGAACATCATTCGTTTCAAACAGTAATTCCTTTGTTTCGCCGTATCCTCTTCAAATGTCACGATTCAATTCTTCCAACTTCAATAAGCCGTTTGCCTGTCAACCTTTAAAATATTGCGAACAGTACATTTTGCTCATCCTCTATCAGTGAGTTTTTGTTAAAATTTTCATAATTCTATGCCGCCGTTGTGTAGCATATGGAATATCTTCATTTGTTTTTATTGATTTCAGGAATATTTTAGAAAATTTTATTTTTTACGGAACTAGTCAGTGTTCTTGTGGAATTATTTTGTAAACCATATTGTGTGTATGTATGTGTTCGTAACAATGGTATTGCATTTGTGTAAGGAATATCTAAAGCAACGAATCTACTGTACGCCATTTCTTTAATAATGCGTATAAAAAGGATAAAAACTCATAGCACTGTAAAATAAAAATTTCTAAATTCCAGAAAAAGAAAGATTTCATATCAAAGCACTCAAAGGCAGTGACATATAAGCTCCAACGTTCGCACAAAATGAGGCGATTTACTTTTTAAATGATAATTCATTGCTTCCGCAAGCAGTTTGAAACGACCTAAAACACTTTTGTACGCCAATCTACGGATTTGGGCACAGTTACATGAGCGCGAGATTTGTAAGTCAAACCAACTAACCCATTTTCCTCGCTGGGAAATGGAAAATTTCCCAATCATTTTCATATTCTATTCCCATTAGAAAAGGCAAACTTTACCGCATTATTTTACGCAATTTTATACATGTTTATATTCGTAAATATCCTCTACCATGAAAAATGTCCCCGACATGTAAACTATTTCATGTTTATATTCGTAAATATCCTCTACCACGAAATATATCCTCGACATGCAAACTATTTCTTGCTTACGTATCTAAATATCCCCGACCATACTTATCCCGTATAATAAAGTTTGCAACAAAAGCTCGAAATCTTTCTTTGAAAATAAACAAAAGCTTCGAAAATTTCTCCCCGCAACATTTTTTTTTATGTATGAGGTTTATAAGTATATATATAGAAGTGTAATTATAAGTATATAGAAACGTAAATCTTCTTTCATTGTATGTAAACTTCTGCAATGAACGCACGGCGTAAACAACCATTTGGTTGCGACTAAATTTATCTTCAATTTATAAACA